TACTAATGCTTATTTTGGTGCTGGTACTGGTCCTATTAACATGGACAATGTTCAGTGTACTGGAAATGAAGGGATTCCTTGTCAACTGTACTTACTTATCTACCCATAACTGTGGCCATTATGAAGATGCTGGTGCTACTTGTGGCGCAACTTCATGTAATAATTCAGACATTCGTCTTGTTGGTGGATCTAATGCTAATGAAGGAAGAATTGAAGTGTGTATTAATGGAGCATGGGGTACTGTCTGTGATGATGGTTGGGGAGCACCTGATGCTGCAGTTGTATGTAATCAGTTAGGAATTGATGGAGGTAATAGTTACAGTAGTATTCATTACATATCAATGCGACATTAGGTTCCATTGCTCGTACTCGTGCTTATTTTGGTGCTGGTACTGGTCCTATTAACATGGATGATGTTGAGTGTACTGGAAATGAAGGATTCCTTATCAACTGTACTTACTTATTTATTCATAACTGTGGCCATTCTGAAGATGCTGGTGTTACTTGTGGTGCACAGCCTGAATGTAATAACACTGATATTCGTCTTGTTGGTGGATCTAATGCTAATGAAGGAAGAGTTGAAGTGTGTGTTAATGGAGTATGGGGTACAGTCTGTAGCCATCATTGGACTTACAGTGAAGCTGCTGTTGTCTGTAAACAGCTTGGAATTAATGGAAGTAAGTAAAACTAATTGCAGTGCATAAGTTTACAATAAGCAGTATCTGTACCTCGAGATGTTTCTTACTTTGGTTCTGGCACTGGTCCTATCAGCATTGGTACAGTATACTGTACTGGAAATGAAGACAACCTTACTCAATGTACATTAACATCACAATTCTTCTGTTGGCATTTCTATGATGTTGGTGTTAGTTGTGATTCACAGCCTGAATGTAATGACACTGACATTCGTCTTGTTGGTGGATCCAATGATATTGAAGGAAGAGTTGAAGTGTGTATTAATGGAACATGGGGTACTATTTGTGGCAATAGTTGGGACAGCAATGATGCTGCAGTTGTATGTAGACAACTGGGTCTTGGATCAAGTTAGTTTGTATAAAAATTGTTTATAATTATTATTGTATGTAGATGGTATTCCATATAGCAGTGCTTATTATGGTTCTGGTACTGGTCTTATTGCAATGGATGATGTACACTGTGATGGAACTGAGGAAGCACTTATCAACTGTCAACATGATACTTATCATAATTGTGATCATACTGAAGATGCTGGAGTTAGGTGTATCATAAACAGCACCTCTACAAGTAATTAGTACCAAAATCTAATAAGATATACATTTAGATTTAGCACATTTAATTAGATTGCATAGACAAAATACATTTCCTATACAATTTATTTCCCCAAGATACCATTATATTAACAATGTATTTTGAGTTGAAGGATAAATTTTTAACATTGATAACATGCAACATTTTTATAAAGCCAATTTTAGATTGTTGTTTATCATATTTTATCATGTAATCTCTGCTGCTTATCCCACTTCAGCAATTATCACACAGATCCCATCTCCTATCAACAAAAAGTCTATCATAAATAAATAGCATAATATTCTAAAGCTTCTTTCTAAATTATAGACTGTACTTATGGTAGCATTCGTCTTGTTGATGGATCTAATGATAATGAAGGAAGAGTTGAAGTGTGTATTAATGGAGCATGGGGTACTGTCTGTGATGATCTCTGGGGAGTAAATGATGCTGCAGTTGTATGTAATCAGTTAGGAATTGCTGGAAGTAAGACTAGCATAATTTGTTATTGTTCATTGATTACTATTTTGACAGCTTCTATTGCTCGTACTAATGCTTATTTTGGTGCTGGTACTGGTCCTATTAACATGGACAATGTTCAGTGTACTGGAAATGAAGGATTCCTTGTCAACTGTACTTACTTATCTACCCATAACTGTGGCCATTATGAAGATGCTGGTGCTACTTGTGGCGCAACTTCATGTA